AGATGCTATAATATCACCTTTACCTGTCCTTTTTTGGTCCCTCTCCACAAACTCTCATTTGGTTCCTCATCCGTCACTAGGCAGAGATCTATACACTCCAGATGCAACTTGCCCTCTGTGTTTTCCTAGCCTGTCCATCCTAAGGTGCTGGTCATCCTTCATTGTAACACTCCAGTCAGGGATGCCATTCACCACGTATCTGTGATCCCAACAAGATCCCTGCAGCTGCACACAGACTAACTCATCATGTTTATTCTCCATATTCCTTGTGCAGCCAGCCATCGTACTGGCAAAACCAATTTCGCCTTGCTTAGTGAGGTGGATATCATTTCTCTCAAGCAGATGGTGATCTGCAAGCAGTGTCTCGTAGTCATACAACTCAAAACCTTGTCACCAACACCAGTTCTGCAAACAATTATTTACTTGTGCTATTAGTGCCCTTCTCATCTCCCCTCAGTGTCAGGGTTGTGGAAACATCACTTGGGCTGCCGTGCCCATGATTCTTGCTATTTATCTGCTACTGCTCTCCTGCTTCATCATATAATTACTTTGAGCCACACGAAGTAAAAGTTGGTATGAGTCATCTTTACTTACTGCATTGGCCTTGAGTGAACTGAACAGTGTAAACATCACCTTTGAGTTGTGTGTCCATATGAAAAGAGATGCTTGCACACAAGCAAAGCACCTCACTGGTGCACACTTATCAAATCCAGTATACACGGGGGAGAAGGAACTCAGGGTTGCATGTTAAATTAATGTTACAGGAGCTTGGTGAAAAAACAACTATCAGAACATACCATGTGGTATTTAATGTCAGCACTAATTTAGTGCACTTATTTTCTTGTAAACAGTTACTATTACTAACGTCAGTCTTAAGCCTCCTTCCATAGGTGAATGAAAAAATAGCTTCACGATAGAAGATAGACACACTGAGATACAAGCTTTATATACTAGTTATGTACGCATTAACAAATACAGCTGAATCACTACTGTTGGACTGTAAAACAACACTGATTTGAGCAGTGGCATTCATGGCATTGTTAAAATAATAGAAACCTGACTACCACTTGGAAAGCTAAAGTCATTGTTGCTGCCTAAAGTTTCATATTTTGCATTTATAAATTAAATTTGCTAATGGTATGTTGATAGCAGCCGTTCTGTTTATATCTTGCATTTGCACTTAATAACTTTTGATTCTTGAGGACAGGTAATATGAGGTGCAATAGTAACAAGTTACTAGCACAGCAAGGTGGCATTATTTTTCCAAACTCTGATACCCAATGAAAATGACTCTTTTCAATATGATTGTTTCAGCAGTAATTCATGTAAACACTTACTCTTGTAATGACCCATCCAAACACCCTCCTTTTATTTAAACAGTACAGTTAAGGCAAAAAAGTAGTAAGGGAACTGCCATGCAATCACGTCAGCATTTCCAATGTGCTAACAAAACTCTGAAGCCCTGAATTAGTGTATTTCAGCTAATTCCTGGGAAAACACAGGCTTGCCAGTTTGGGTCAGCTTCAGAAATTCTTATACAGAATTTATTTCATAGAGAGGAGAGAAAATGTAGCCTGCTGGACTTCTTGGCTGCATGGCATGTTCACTAATTCGGTATGATAGCAGGTATTTTCAACACAGGCAGCAGATTGCCAAAGGCAGGAGCAGACAAACCTAGGAGAGCAGGGCATGCTCACAGTCTGCTCTTCATGAGCCAGGATCTCCAAGTCCAAACTTCCAAACAAGGTCTGGGTATCACATAAGATGTGGAAGCTCTTTCTGAGCAAACTGTCTTTGTAAACTCTGCAGTGCTCTGTAGCAACTAATTCCACGTATTCATTATGTGCCCTTATTTTTTTTTCATAGAATTTAAACGTATCTCAACATACTCATTTCTCTCCTTGTTCATGAAAGTGCTTGAAACATTGCTTTTCTAAACATTGATTTCTTTCTTTTGTCACCAACACATGCTGCCATGTGCACTTGATCTAGGAAATTTGGATGTCTGGTGGTTTGGGTTTTTTTTTTCACTCCTATCTATATAGCATAGTAAGAGGGGACATGCATTAAAACCCCTTGATTTATTCAAGAGGGTACCCTTTCAGTAAGTTTTTTATCACGTTCTTCACATATCTCAATTTTTTTCCCTTCTGAGGAAGCAAGCATTCTTACTGAGCAGTTCATAATAAACAATGACCACGTTCTTTTCCATGGTAATCTTCGAATTTAATCTAAAATGCAGTAGTAGAAACAAATAGTTCAAATTACTAATTTTAGCATTGCTCACCTTTTCAGCACTTACAGTCATATAGCTGTTAGGTTTTCTGCAGTAGCCGTCAGCCTTCTCCAATTCTGAGTAATGCAAATGTGCCCTCTGTCACTCATGTAAGAAGGATTGTATGCTTTGTGGCACCACACATTTACATATCACCACTTCATTTTGCTGCAAATTTTGAGAGAAGCAGCATTAGACTGTTCTGCTCTTCTCTCCCTCTCTGTTACTTCTAAAGTTTCTAATCTATGATTATCTAGGCTTCAATTTTGTGTTCTCAGAACTTGTCAGGGTCATTTTGGAAAACGACTTGTATTTTCCTCCTTCTTGTCAACCACAAGGAGAATGGCTTTTCTGTTAACTGTATAGTTGTGTAACAGCTATTTATCTTCTATCCATTGGCATACCATCAGTCCTATACTTTAGGAAAGAGGAAGGAACTGCTCTTTGTAGTTTGCTCCCTCTTTATTCTTTGGTAAAACATTAAAATGTCTCCTGTTTATTGTTCTTTTTGTTCAAAACACCCATTGCTCTCCCAGCCCCTTCACCCTACCATGAAACCCCTCCTTTACTCTTTCTGGTGAGCTGCCAGCCTCACTGGCTTTCCTCTGACAACTTACCAGTTCAGCAAAACAGAACAGCACAGAACATCATGATCTGCACTGCTGCACCAGCAGCAGAGAGAGCAGCTGCTCTGTGTGCCTGGCCAAGTGCTTCTGCACCTCCTGAGCAGCAGAACAGCTGGAGCTGTGCTATATCAGCTGTGACAACTTTAAGGTTAGAGAGCCCTTGTAAGGTGGGCCAACCTCTTCCACAGCTAAAACTTACCAGCTTTACAGAAGCTGGCTCCAGAACAGTTATTAAAGAGAAAGAAAAAAGCAAGCAAGAGACAAAAATCCCAACCTTATGTGTTAAAAGTGTACAACAGAGGCTGATGTAAGAAAAGGCCCAGAAGACAGTAAGGACAATAAAATAGAACTAGACATAGTAATGTTTCATTTTATTTGATAGAAAGTTGCTTCAAAAATATGATTAACTATATACATTCTTATATGCTGTACATACAACCACATATACAAAATGTACATAATAGCAAACATCCTTTGTTACATTTTATAGATGGTAGTTAATAACACGAAATATATTTCATACCTGCTTTCATCCTGATCCTATCTAGAAGAAACTGATAGAGATGAGACATGAAAAACGCTAGCAGATCACTTAATTTTTACCCCAGCCCCCACTACAGTCTTCTCCACAGTGTATTTTATGAGTGCACTGCTCTAGCACAATTAGGTTTGCAGCACTTCCCTTTAGAGCCATTTGGCTGCTAACCTTATCCATTTTTTTCCTGGCATTTACCCTAACCTACTTGTAACTTATTTCTGTAACTCAGATCTCCAGAGTTATAGAAATCTTCCTCAAATCAAGCTAGATTTCTTCAACTTTTTATTGTGAGGGTGTTTGTTGGGTTTGGTTTTCAATTTCTTTTTCATCTTGATTCCTTAGTTGCCTCTTTGCCATATATAAAATCGATTCAACTATTAGTACTCTCTGTTCTGGGGGAAGTACACTCAAGCATAAAAGCTATAATCCAAGCGTTCTCTCCTTCCCACTCTACCAGTCACTGTAAACCTGAAATCAGTCAGCAAGGAAAAAAAATGTACCTTCCCTCCTCCTTTTTCTCCTCAGGCAATTACAGGGTGAGTGACTGCCAGCTGCTCCCTGGGACAAGTGGTGTCAGGTGTCAAGAGGAACTGGGCAGTTCCTGGGATTTTTCTGGTCCCAGTGGGAATGCTCCACCCTCTCTCTAGGCAAGAGGTAGCATACCAACATCAAAACACAGGGAGTAGAAGCTGGTTACTCAGCCCTTTACTAGTCATTTTCAAGAAATTGTCCTCCATTTCCTCACTGGAGGGATCAGGCAACCTTACCCTATGGACCTGATGTTCGGGGAAGAAGGGAGAGTGAGAACTGCCAAACCTGCAGAGTTCCAGCAGCAGCAGGCCTGTGAGAGAAGCCACAGCCAAACAGGCTATCCTGGAGGACTCTTCCCTGAGCTAAGAGGGAACATGGCTTCTTTCATTACCTTTCCAGCTTCCAGAGGTTAAAAATAAGCTGCTGCTTTCCTGCAAGCATCTCGAGAACTGCAGTTTCATTGCCCTAAGAATGTTTAACAGCATCCTTAAAGACCTATTTTATTTTTCTGCTCATGTGGCCCTGTGCTTTCTAAGCCTGTTGCTACCCATACATAGGGTTCATTTCACTTGGAAATTTTTCTGTTCTCTTTCTATACCTCTGTATTTTTTTAATATTAATATGCAAGACCTTTCTCTGATCGGAAAAGCAGTTTTCCATCAGCTATCAAGGTGAAGGCAAGGGGATTACGGTTCCTCTTACACATTCCTTTGGCATTCTTTTAAATAATGTTTTTTTCTAACTAAGGGGAACTCTACTTATATTCTTCAGAGCAAGTTTATGTTTTCTGAATTACCGCATAACATGCATATATTTAATAATATCTTAAAGCCAAAGATATCAATATGCCTTTATTTTCTTTCTAGGTTGTGGGATTTTCATTTGTTTGAGAAAATACTTCTCGGGATTCTCTTCTGCTTACAGTATCTCTGTCCACTGTTGCTAGGCCCGTTTAGATTTTATTTCCTTTTTATTTTATACTACTCCATAGTCTCAGTTGAGAATTTGAACTGGTATGAAATATCTTCTGTTACTCCTTGTCTGAATTCCTGAGATCCTGTCCGCAGCCTTGGTTGGGAGAGGGCGCTGGTGAGCTGCTGGCGAGATGGGACTCCACCTTAGAAGAAGTGGGCTTGAAACAGTCCTCCTGACCTTGTGGGGTGGGAGGTGGAGGAGGCAGGTGGCTCTCACTTTGCTGCACTTGTGCATTAGCAGCTGGTGAATCATCATCCTGCTGGTCTTGTGTACTGGGAGGAACAGCGGAAGAGATGATGCCCTGAGGAGCAGCTGCTGGACCCC